GCCAGGAGCCCCCGGGAGCCCCTCCACAGGCCATGAGCTTGACCTAAGGGTGTTACTCCCAGAGCTGTCCTTGGCATTCCTGACTACCTTCCCAGGACACACACTGCTGCCAGCCTCTGCCCAGCACAGGTGCTTCCCTCTAACAGCATGTGGGCTGAGGCCCGAGACCACTGATATCAGGGCCACGTCAAGCTTCACTCCCAGTTGTTGCCTCCATTTTGGGACTCCTTGCCCTTAGTGACCATGTTCGTGGTCCTTTCTGGGGTGCTGACAGGGCCCTTGCAGAGGGAGCTGAGAGAAATTGCCACAGAAGCTCTGAGACTGCACATCAGAGTGCTCAGGTGCTGGCCTTAGGAGGTAGCAGCAGGGCTCCGACACACCGGAGGGAAGCCACTCCTGGCTGGCATGTCACAGCCACCCTATCCTGCTGTGGTACATGTCAGGGTCTTGAATGCACCGGCTCCTGGCCACTCGAGCAGTGGGTGAGTGAGCACTTGGTGCTGTGGGCACTGACAGGGGCATCCATCCTCTTCCAACCAGCGATCCCACCCAGAGTGACGTGCTCCAGGAAGAGCATCTAGAAGGACAAAGTCACAGGCAGAAAGTAGTTGGCATACTTTCCAGTGCAGTGGTTCTCAGCCAGGGTGACTCTGACCCCCAGGGGACATTGGTTGTCACAGCTGGGGGTGTAGTGCTACGTCTAGTAGGTGGAGGCACTAAAGAGCCCATGATGCACAGGCCACCAACTGCCCCCCCAATACACACACACGTGTCAGCTGCCCTGGGTGGAAGTCCCAGGAGAATGGGTGGTGACAGCATGCCACCCCAGGGTGGTGAGTGGCCACTGATGGCTCCTGGGACAGTCGTGGAGCAGCAAGAAGTATACTTTCCAGATTGCAGAGGTGGAGTGTAAAAGCATCGTGAGCAGCCGGCCGTCAGGGGTGACCACCTTGTGGTATACACGCTTTACCTGGGAGGACAGCTGAGCAGAGGGGGCCGGGACTGCGTGTGGAAGGCTGAGACTGCTGAGGAACAGTGGATCAGGCAGGACATGAGGGAAGGTGTTGGGACGTGATTGGGTGAGGGCTGGGGGGCCCACACACAGGTGTGTGCTTAGGCAAGAAACACATGGGCCCCTCGTGCCCAGGAGTGAAGAACAGAAGCCTGTGGAGGTGAAGTCACAGGCCCTGGGGTGACGGTGAATCAGGGCAAGGGGCTGGAGCAGGGCTCTGGTAGGAGCAGTGGTTTGGGAGGGAAGTGGAGGGATGGGGGTGAGGTAGAGAGATGATCTGATAGTGACACAGGGAGGGTATGGTGACAAGGGTGGGAACGCGTGAGAGAATCTCAGACTTGAGCTTGGTTCCAGGCCGCAGGAGGAGGGCACAGACTGAGAGGTCACCTGTGGGGCTCATTGTACCTGAGTCGTCTAGGACGCTGCCAGGGGGCAGTTGGAGCACAAGTGTTCTGGAAACGTCCACTTTCTGGTGATGGCAGTTGAGGCTGCGAGAGTTTGTAAGATAATCCCCAAGGCCTGTGGAGGGAGGGAAGTGCCCACCTTTAGGCGCAGGTTGAAGACAAGCCAGCCGAAGGTGGGCCCAGCTGGACTGGAGGACATGGCAGGGAGAGTGACAAGCAGTGACCGCACTGAAGCTTTCACTTGTCTCAGCTGACTTTGGCCAAAAAAAAAAAAAAAGAGGCCTGGTGCCTTCATAGGAACAGCGTGAGCATGAGGTGGGACTCGGCAAACCGAGCAGCAAGCAGGAGAGGTTCCTTTTAGAAGGAGGGTCAAGAGGGGGCACTGCAGAGCTGGCTTACAGGGCGTTGGATCCTATGTGGGAGTCTCTAGAACAGGCCTCACAGGCTCGTGTCAGAGCTGACCCAGCAGGCACCAGGAGCAGTGACCACAACAGCAGCCAGCAGTTGTCTCTGCGTAGCAGCAGCCGTGGTTAGTGGACAGCCAGATTGCGTTTGAGCCTCAGTTTCCTCATCTCTGAAAGGGGGTGATGGTAATACCTGTGCAAAGGGCTATCGTGGAGGCTGAGGGAGCTGACACACGCACTGGCTACCTGGGTTATTCAGTTCTTGCCATTGTGGCTAGAAAATGGAGAATGGGTATAGAAATCACTGATTTACTGATGACTTCTCACTGTGTGGTATGACTTTTTAAATTATGTTTTAGACAAAGAAATTTGCAAGTATGAAAGCAATGAGGGATTTTGAGGGACTTTTTTATGTCTGGAAGAAAAGGCAAGTCGCTATTTCTTGAGCACTAACCATGTCCCTCAGAGGCGCTCCACATTGAGTCCGGAAGGATAGCCTTGGCTCTTGGCCCGAACACGGCAGCTCTGGCCTTCACAGCAGGCACTGCTGGTGCTGTTACTATCCCCATTCAATGCCTGCCCCCAGGGCAGTGCCACACACTCCCTCTGCATGCAGTCTGGCTCTGAGACCGGAGCCCCTGCTTCCCAGGGCACCTACACCCGTGTATGTTCAGCAGATTGGACCATGTTCGGTGCCCTCCGCAGCCTTCCTGGAAGTGGTACTTCATCCTACCAGAAGGCAGCGGAGACACAGGGACTCCTCTGCAGGCAAGGGGAGGGCCTTCTTGGCTCAGAAAGTACCTCAGGTGGCATGAGGCAAGGTGGGCCCAAGCTGTGCATCTGCCTTGGTTGTAGGACGCGATGCAGCACGCTGCAGAGTCCCAGGATGCCAAGCTGGCTGAGAAGTTGCTGCAGTGGTTCCTGGAGGAGGGCAAGCAGGATTGCTTTGCAGCCTCTCTCTTCGCCTGCTACGATCTGCTTCCCCCAGATGTGGTGCTCGAGTTGGCCTGGAGACACAACCTCGTGGACCTGGCCATGCCCTACTTCATCCAGGTGATGAGGGAGTACCTTAGCAAAGTAAGTACTGGCCCTGCTGTGGCTCCCTGGCCACCGCATGGCACAGCTGTGACTCTGGCCCCAGTCTGCAGAGTCCCTGTGGTGGCCCATTGGGGGCCACCCAGAATGCCCAACCAGCCCCAGCTGTCTTTGGGATTGGCCTCTAGCCTTCATTCATTTTTTTTTTTTTTTTTTTTTTTTTTTGTGTGTGTGTGTGTGTGTGTGTGTGTGTGTGTGTGTGTGTGAGGAGATCAGCCCTGTGCTAACATCTGCCAATCATCCTCTTTTTTTTTTTTTTTTTGCTGAGGAAGACTGGCCCTAGGCTAACATCTGGGCCCATCTTCCTCTACTTTATATGGGACACCGCCACAGCATGGCTTGCCAAGCAGTGCGTCGGTGCGCGCCCGGGATCCGAACTGGCGAACCCCAGGCCGCCACAGCGGAACACGGGCACTTAACCACTTGCGCCACCTAGCCGGCCCCTTGCCTTCATACTTGAGTGGTTTTCTGCCAAGTGTTAGCCTCTTCTAGAAAATCACCATGGGGGCACTGGGTAGAACTAAGCACTTCCCCTTGCAGCAGCTCTCCTACACACTGCCAGGGGGCTTCATGGGGTGAGAGCAGTGAGGTGCCAGCTGATGGAGCCTCCAGCGCACAGCTGTGGGTCATCCACCTCAGAGCACACCTCCAGGGGAGTTGGGAGTGCAGCTGTTGGCGAACCCATCTTGGTCACCCCCCTTTTGCTGAGCATGTAGTAGGAATATTAACACTATTTAATCTTTTAACCCCTTGACAAGGTAGGTGGTCGTCCCCTCTACAGCTGCTGCAGACCCTGGGGTTCGGGTCCCACACTGACAGGTGAAGTGGGGGCTCAGACCCATGTCTCCCTGGCCCAGAGGCCATCCTCATGTCTCGGCACATTGCTTCTGCCACTTCAGATGTCATTTGGCATCCCTAGTGTCCCACTCTGCCTTTCTTTGCAAGCAGATGAGTTGTTTAACCAGGTGGCAGTGTCTGATTTTACAATTCTCCCTATGTGTCAAAGCTCTAGACGTCCCTTTCTGTAGCCACTGTCCAGAGACTCTTGTCATCTGGTCTGGTTTGTTTCTAACACTGAGGAAAGGCTGTCACTCAGCAGCACCTACTTGCCCATCCAGCCATACACCTCACCTTCCAGCCAGATGAAGGCCTGACGATGCCAGGAAGCCAGGGGCTGAGTCTTCTTTCAGTGTGCGAGGGAAGGGAGGGGCCTCCGGATAATTAGCGTGGGACTTAGGGAAGAAACAGGCAGTGGGGGGAGGCTCTATTGCTGCCAGCTTAGGCCTGCAGGGGCTTGCTCTGTCTGCTGTTTGCAGAGCCTCCTGGGAGCTGCCCATCCCAGCAAGGGCCGTCCAGGGGCCACTCAAGGCCATCGCCCTGCTGCAGCAGGAGGCACCACTGGAGTCCCATGCGAACAGCACATCTGAGCAGGAGGCCTCCTGAGACTCTCCAGGGGTGGGCGAGGGGCAGCCCTGGCCATGTGGCCTGCACTGCGAGCTGCCAGGGGATTTAGGCTGGTTGGATTTACAAGGGTCCCTGTAACACTCAATCATCAACCACAGTGAACAGCAGCGAGAAGTGTCTGTGTTGTATGGAGCTTGTCTGCGAAAACTGCTCTGCCCATGATGGGCTGCTTTTCCTAGCCCTAAGTTGTCTTAACCTGGGAGCAGTCTGTCTGTTCTGATCCCCTGCATAGAGGGATGAATGTGGCTTGAATCTCTTCCTGGAGTCGAGGCCTGTGGTTTAGCAGAAGAGGAACTCAAGCCCACTCAGACCTTCATTGCTGCAGGGGTTGGACTCCCAGAGGGCCTTCAAGGACTTGGAGGAGCACACTCCCTCTCTGTGGCAGATGACAGAGGTCACCCTGGCAGCTGTGTCACCTTGGTCAGCACTTTGGCCACACGGCTAACCCAGGACGGTACAGTGTGCTTGGGCTACAGCTGCCTTCCTGCTAGAAGGACCCTGACCCCGAGACACCTCCTGGAAGGCAGGGGCTACCACAGCACCTGCCCTTGATGCTGCCCCCACATGCCTCTGCCAGCACTAGACCAAGTGCCTGTCATGGTGGGGAGAGGTGGGGGCTTATGGTGGGGTGTGGGCTGGTTCTCAACTTGGGCTAGGGCCCAGCAGACTGGACACAGTGCTATGAGGCGGAGGGACCCAGACAAGAAAGCCACAGCCCCTTCCTGACTGGAAAACTGGGTCCTGGGCCTCTTGACTCATCTGGGAAGCTTGAGGGTCGTACCTCTGAGAAGCCCCCTGCCTCAGAGCTCTCCCAGTGGGGGGTATGGGCGCAGCTCAGCCCTCAACCCTCAGCCCTGGGCATCGGCCAGCTGAAGGCAGAGAGGACAGGTTGCGAGTCGACAATGGCTGTCCTGCTCCTTTCTCCCCTCAGCCCTGGTCTGATGGAGGAAGAAGAGGGGAGTGCACAGGGCCAGCAGGGCTCTCTGATGGGGTTCTGGTGCCTGGCCTGATCTCTCCCAGACCTGAGTACACATAATTGTGTCTCCTTTCTTGCCCATGTGCTTCGTTGGGGGGGTCCCAGACGTACAGTTGCTGCAGCCCCCGCGAGCACAGTACTATCCGCCCTGCAGCCCCCATGGGGCAACCTCACTCTGTTCCCTCCCTGTCCGTGCCAGCCTGTGAGCACTGCACGGCGCAGGCAGCGCATGGTGAAGCCCCAAGGAAGGGCAAGGAGCAGCTTGTCCACAGATGGCTGTCACGGCCCCCGCCTCGCAGCTGGCACATCCACCCTACCAGGTGGAGGCTCCCAGGTGTCAGAAGCCCCATCTCCTTAGGAGGAGTGGGCAGCCTGGACTGGCTGGAAGCAGGAAGTGCTACATTGTCTTGGCAGTGTCCCTGTGTCCAGAGGAGGACTCGGCCCTGTGATCCATGCCACACTCACATCCGGTGGTCACTGGCTACTGCTCATGGTGGCCACGTGCCCACGTGGAAAACACTGGGCTAGAACAGCAGCTGGGGTTCACCAGGGCCCCTCTGGGCACTCCATCTCCACCTGGTTACAGAGGCTTCACTTTCTCTTGGAGTTGGGTGGTAGTCACTGCCGGTGCAGCATCTGCCCCATGTGCCCGTCCTCAGCTCTAACTCCTGGAGGCTGTGCGCTTACCTCCCAGCCCCACATTCATCTCCAGGCCCAGACTGCCCTCGGCCTATCAGGCAGGCACTCATGTGCTCTCGCCTCTTTGCAGGTGGACAGACCTGCAGGCAGGTGGATGCCTCAGAGAGTCTGCGCAAGCAAGAGGAACATGTAGTGGAGCCCTCCCTTCTCCTGTTTGGTAGGTGGTATCCCGTAGCCCCTAGTCCCCTGTCACCTAGGAAGGGAGGGGGAGGGGAGGCGATTCACACCACCCTTCCCTGGCTGGGCTTCAGATCGGGGCGGGAATGAACAGGGCAGGGGACAGAAGGATCACGATGGCTGCCTGTTGTGGAGAAGGTCAGTGATCCAGGAATGTTGGAAAGGGATGGCCACTGTCCTCCCTGTCTGAGGGCACCTGCCTTCTGGTGGGGGTGCTCCTGCCTGCTCCTTGTGCCTGGCAACTGCCTAGCTTCGAGCTGCTGCTGTGTGCTGCCCTGCCTGGCCCCCCGGCAGCCAGGCTGTTGTTGGCTTGCACTTAAGAGCCTGCCTGGATGGCATGGCCGTTGAGTAGACAGATTGGTTGGTGTCCACTGCACAGAGAGGCTGCTGGGTCCTGGAGTGCACTGCGGCACTAACAGAGGCCTAAGGGTGTGGTGTGAGCACACAGCAGGTGAGCCTGGTCTCAAGCCTCCTACCAGCTGTGTCCTCCTTGGGGTCATTGTGCCCACCCACAATGTTTGTCTATCTGGTTTTTTTAGATTTTGATGGGCATGAGTGAGACCCAGCCAGTTGAGCTAAGCAAGTGTCCCATTTGGGGACTAGCTTACCCTCTAGGCCTGGCCAGCCTTTGTGGCTGGTCTCACAACAGCAGCTCCCACAGCCCTTTCCTCAAGGCACCTTCTCTCCCGTGCCTCAGCCTCTGGGTGGTCAGGGCTGGTCTGCAACCCTGCTCCTTGGGCTCCTGGCCACCTAGGGGCAGCAGGAGCCTTGCTCACCCTTGGCTTCTCCCTCTGTAGGCCAGCAGCTGATGCTGACAGCAGGCCCTGCTGCAGGGCCAGCCCCTACCAGCTGCCCGTATGGGTATGCTTCCACTCCCGCCTTCACCCAGTCTCCAGTGTACGGCTTCAGCGTGTAGTGGGTGCTCAGTGGCAACACCCCCTCTACCGAGTTATTAACCTCCCCAAGGAGCGCATCACTCCAGAAGCACAGAGGACCCCGATGGGAGGCGGGCACACCTGGACCTTATTTATTTTTGCTGGGGCCCAATGATGGCAGCTTCTGAGCCATTCCACAGCCCAGGGAGGCCAGCGTAGCCACTGACTGCCCAAGAAGACCAGCTCCAGCCGCCGTGCTGGGAGGTCAGCTCCCACCTCCAGGCCTTCTGGCTGGAGCCAGGCATTCCTGGGAAGTTCCTGTCTGCAAGGATCCCCTGACACTTGGCGGGAGGGGCACCCTCTCTTCACTCTGCACTGGCAGAGCTGCCCCCTCCAGGCCATTCTGCAGACCCAACCGAAGGTATAACCTGGCTGAGCCTCCTCCCGATCATGAACATTAAAGTCGGTTTATCAAGGCAAAGCTTCCCTGCTTGGTGCTGGTGTGGGAAGGAGGGGACAAAAGGTTGCTGAGAGCTCTTGTGCTGGTGGGGGACCTGCGTCTACCCAGGAAAGCAGGCCAGAGGGGTACAGCCAGGGTGTATTTAAGGTGTTTTCCCGACCGTGCGCACTGCACCGAGCTCTAAATCCCCTAGGGGGAGTGGTAACCGCACAGCCCTCAAACAGCAAGGATGGGGCGAGCCCCACGTGTTTCGGGGAAGGTCTGCCCCTCTCTCCACCCCCGATCTCCGGGGTTTCTGTCGCTCATGGCAGATGCAAAGACCCCGAGATCGGCTCCTTTCCGGGCCGGACTCTGCTGGAAGCCCCGGCTGGTTTTAGAGACTGCACCTTGACCCCCAGCTCCAGGCCCAGTGGCAGCGCCGCCTCCCCAGGACCCTGCCCCCGGCCTCGCCACGCTTCGTTTTCCGGCGACCCGGGCTCGGCAATTGGCTGGGTCGTCGTCTCCGCCCCGACGCCCGCCTCGGCGCGCTCCGCCCCGGCCTCAGTTTCCCGGGCGGCATGGGGCGGGCTGGGGGCGGGGCCCGGGTCGGACCACGCGGGGCGGAGCTCTGGAGCTGACGCCGCCGCCCCGCCCCCCCGGGCCATAACCCGCCGCCACCGCCCCCACCGCCGCAGCGGACCGAGCGCCGAAGACAGAAGGCTCGGACCCGAGGCCGACGCCGGGCGCCCGCCATGGACGCGCCCCGCGCTCTGGCGGCCGCCGCGCCGGCACCCGGGAAAGCCAAACTGACGCACCCGGGGAAGGCGATCCTGGCAGGTGGGCTTCTCCGTGATACGGTCCCCGGCGCGCCACGCCGACCCCACCGGCCCCGCCGCGCTTCCGGGTGGGCCCGGGACGCCGAGGCCCCGCCTCACTTCCGGGTCGGGCGTGGGGCGCGGCCCTGGTCCCCAGCGGCGCGCGGGGGCTCGTCCAGCGTGTCGCCCCTCCGCGCCTCGCCAGAACAACTGGGGTGGGGCTTGGGGACCCGGCGAGGCCTCCCCGCGGTGCAGGCGCCGGACAGAGTCCGGGGCGGGGGAGGGGCCTGGGTGCCGGCGGCAGCGGGCGGGACGGCGGGGCGGCAGGGAGGGGGTTTCAGGGCCTGGGTCCTCGCTCCCCGCAGGCGGCCTGGCGGGCGGCATCGAGATTTGCATCACCTTCCCCACCGAATACGTGAAGACGCAGCTGCAGCTGGACGAGCGCTCTCACCCCCCGCGCTACCGGGGCATCGGTGAGTAGGGGCGGCCCGGGAGGGAGGTGCGCTCGGGGAGCGGGTCCCGAGCGCGGCGGGCGTCGCTGACCACGCTTTCCCCCAGGGGACTGCGTACGGCAGACTGTCCGCAGCCATGGTGTCCGGGGCCTGTACCGAGGCCTCAGCTCCCTACTCTACGGCTCCATCCCCAAGGCGGCAGTCAGGTGAGGGGGCTGGGGCGGCAGCAGGAGGGAGCCCCGGCGGCAGCAGCCCCTCTCACCCCGCTGCCTCCTGCCTCCAGGTTCGGGATGTTCGAGTTCCTCAGCAACCACATGCGGGACGCCCAGGGACGGCTGGACAGCACACGCGGGCTGCTGTGCGGCCTGGGCGCCGGCGTGGCCGAGGCCGTGGTGGTCGTGTGTCCCATGGAGACCATCAAGGTGGGGAGGGTCTCGGCAGGAGGGAGCAAGGTGTGCAGGAGGAGCTGTCTGAGGAGCTGAGTGCAGGAGGCCCTCAGAAAGAGCCTCCTCTGGAGGGTGGACTTTGTCTTGAAGGCAACGGGAAAGGGTCATTATGGTTTTTAAAATACACTTTTGTAAACAGAAAACATAAGATAATATGGGTTTGCTGCCTAAACTGTGGGAAATAGCAAACATAACTGCAGAGACTTCTTAGTAAGACAGACTCTCTTGTCTCCTGGGAACTCGTGTCCCATGGCAGCCTTGGGTGGCCCTGTTTCCAGGGGAAGAGGTGCACCTCTAACCCTGGCCCGACCTTGTTGGACTTGGGGCCTACAAGCCACGTGGCCAGGTATGCCCTCCCAGGGTGGCCTGGGGCCAGCACCTTGCTTTCCTCTCTCTCAGGTGAAGTTCATCCATGACCAGACCTCCTCCAACCCCAAATACAGAGGATTCTTCCATGGAGTCAGAGAGATTGTGCGGGAACAAGGTGAGCCACTCGGCCTTCCTCCTCAGGTGGGGTCAGGGATCTTGGCCAGGCTGGAAAGAACCTGCACTTCCCCTTCCTTCTTTGGTGCTCCTGCCTGCGGCTCCCCTAATCCCCAGATGGGACTTGGGAGGCACCAGTGTGAGCCTCACGTCTGCCTGCCCCCAGGGCTGAAGGGGACATACCAGGGCCTCACAGCCACCGTCCTGAAGCAGGGATCCAACCAGGCCATCCGCTTCTTTGTCATGACATCTCTGCGCAACTGGTACAGAGGTACGTCTGTGACTGTAAGACCCCATCTCCAAACATTTGGGGCTAGGCTCCCCCTCTTTGGGCTTCCCAACCAGGGCCCCGCCCCCTGGGGCTCCCACCTTCATATGCCCTGGTCCATGCCCCACCCCAGCCCTCAGAGCCAGCCCTTTTAACCTCCCATTACCTTCTGACCACAACCTTCACCCACATCTAGGGGACAACCCCAACAAGCCCATGAACCCGCTGATCACCGGAGTGTTCGGAGCTGTTGCAGGCGCAGCCAGTGTCTTTGGGAACACTCCCCTGGATGTGATCAAGACCCGGATGCAGGTGGGAGTGGGGCCAGGAAGATGGATGGGAGCTTGGGACAGGGGCTGGCTGCTGAGCATTGTGGTGTGCTGGTGTCCTACAGGGCCTGGAGGCACACAAATACCGGAACACGTGGGACTGCGGCTTGCAGATCCTGAGGAATGAGGGGCTCAAGGCGTGAGTGGGGGAGGGGCAAGGCTGTTGTCCCCACCCAGACCCTTCCTGGCCTTCCACCTGCCTCACTCCAAACCCCCTGCCAGCCGCAGCCAGCCCCTAGGGAATCCTTATCTTTAGGCCCCTGTTCCTGCAACGTTTGGACCCTCCCCCCGTTTCCAGAGGCACTGTCCTTCATCTGCCTTCTCACATTTTGTCTCCCCCCAGATTCTATAAGGGCACGGTCCCCCGCCTGGGCCGGGTCTGCCTGGATGTGGCCATTGTGTTCGTCATCTACGATGAGGTGGTGAAGCTGCTCAACAAAGTGTGGAAGACTGACTGAGCCCCAGGGTCTGCATGGGGCTGCCCCCAGGCACCTCCAGACCAGCCCCCACTGCCCTCTCCTCACGATTCCAGTGCAGTCGTGCCAAAAGGCCCCCTTCCCCTGTCCCTTGCACTCCGTGGCCTGGGTCTGTCCCTTGTGGCCATCAAGTTTACGTGTCCCATAGTGCCGTGTGACCTCTGTGGTCTGTGTGACACTTTGCATCCATGAGTCTGGCTGAGGCTGGGTGACCCTCTTGCCTGTGAATCTGTGCCTACTTGTCCATGTGCTTACTCATGAGCCGTGTGCCTGTGTTTCATGTTTCGTGTCACATGACCCTATGCCCCATTTCCCAGTGTGCCCATGTGGCCTGGGTCCACGGCCCTATAGCCAGGGCCCGGTCCCAGCCTGGTGCCTTCCACCCAGCAGGGGCACCCGCCCCGCCTACCATAGCTGCCTCCGGGCCTCAGCCTGGCCTCACCGCATTCCAGGGGCTGTGTGCCCCCTGCTTCTCCTGCCACTGGCCTTAACTGGTCCTCGGGCCCTCCCTCTGCCCGGGACAGGGTGGCACCTACCACTCAGGACCACCCTCCCATGGCAGAATAAACTGGATCCTGTCACAGCCTCCTGTCCCTGTGTGCACCCATCTATGGATGGGCAATGATGGCCATGCCTCTGCAAGGGGCAGGCCCACCCTTCACCTGAAAACACTGGCCGGGGGACAGGGAAGCTGGGCAGCAGGCAGGCTGGTGGGTGAGCCAGCTGGGGCCACAGTCTCAGTCCCCCTGAGACACCTGGTACCAGGCCAAGGAACATCTGGGCTCCCTGCAGGCCTTGCCTGTTGCCTGTGGGCAAGATCCTGTATGGTCAGCTGGCAGGCAGCACTGAGTAGGGTGGACAGCTGGTGGTTGGGCCTGGGAGACAGTGCTCCCAGGCTCTTTTCTGTCCCTCAGCCTGAGGCCCAGCCCATTTCCTCACACCCTCATGGTTTCTCTGTGAAATGGTCTGCTTGTGAGGAAATGCTTTGGGGTATCCAGTTTCTGGTCCCCCGAGGTTCTGGGCATGGGGCCCTTCCTCACTCCCCCCAGGCTGGGAGGCAGCTGCCCTGGGGCAGGAGGGGGTGGAGCTGCCTGACCAGGACCCTAGAGGTGTCTCACCCCACAGCCCTGAACCTCACAGGAAGGTGTCTCTCGCTGGAGTACCTTCCCCTCAGGACCCAGGCACAGGTGGGAGCCAATCAGGGCATGGAGGCCACAGAACTGGAGGGTCCTTGTGCCTTGAGGCCCCTCCTACCCTCCAGATCAGGAATTGGGGACTGCACCCATGAGCCAAGTGGAGGAGACCCGAGCGCAGCACGGGATGAGCCAGTCCCCTGGCTGTGCAGGGGCAGAAGGCACCTTCCTGTCCAAGTGACTCCATGGGTAAAAGTCATGCAAGGGTTTGGCTTGGAATGGGAAATAACTTGCCAACAGAAGCCTCCCAGTAGGCAGCTCCTGTTCCTGGAGCTGCTCCTTTTGGGGGAGAGTGCCCCACCCCAGCAATCTCACACAGCCCCCAGATCCCTGGAGATGGGGTACAGGAGGTCTGGGGCAGATCTGAGGGCCTAGTGTGGGCTTGGAGGTGCCAGGGGAATGCAGGGTTTTGAAGGACTGGGCCATGAGTTCTCAGGGCTTGCAGGAGACACTAATCTTTGCCGCAACGGAAGAGAAAGGGCCCAGCAGCTAAGCGCACAAGCACACACACACGCCCAGCAGGTAAGCGCACATACGGCAGGAATCCACCAGGGTTAGAACCCCAGCCCCATGTGGGTTGAAAGCAGGTGGTAGGCGGCGCTGGCTCACTGCACAGGCCACTGAGGCTGGAGGCACACGTGCCTCCCCCGGGGCCTGCCATCCAGAACCCCAGCTCCCCATTTGTTCACTGTGTGACTTGGGCAAGTCACCTAACTTCAATTTCCTAATCTGTGAAATGGGGTGACACAAGGCCCCACCCCAATGGGTGATAAGGGTGAAATGATGTAATCAGGTGCTTAGAACAATGCTTAACAGAGTAAGCCCTCACAAATGTAGCTTTTTGGGGGGGGTTGCAGGAGGTTGTTTGCATTGGCCCAGGGTTCCAGGTAGTTCCTAAAGCAGGCAAAGCATAGCAGCTGGGCCCTGAGGGAACCTGATGCCCCCAAATATTGATCTCCAGGAATGGCATCCGCTCACTGCACACCAGCACCCCCAAGTCCTGTCCCTGACCCTCTTCACAAAGAGGAAGAGGCCAAGGCTGCACTGGGCTGAGAGCAGGGCATGGAGACCTACACCCAGGAGCAATCTAGCCCCCATCCCTCTCTTCCCAGGAGGGGAAGGCACTCTGCCGAAGCTCCAGTCTCCTCTCCTGTGCCCCACAGGACAACATGGACAGTAAGTAGCCCAGCCAGAACAGTTGACTGAGCTGGGTGTGAGTCCCCTGGGGCCGTGAGCACGGAGGAGCCCCCCACCCTGGTGGAACCGCATTTGTTCACACATCACCTGAAGAAGTAGGCAGCCTCAGTTCTTGGAGCTGAGACCTGAGAGAAGAGGGGCAGGAGGGGAGGGGTGTCCTGTGTGCAGGAAAGAGCTTGTATCCCTGGGCTGATGGAAGGCCAGCAAGGCTGGTGGGAAGTAAGCAGGTGGAGAGCAGCTGTAGAGGCAGGCAGGGGCCTGGAGGGAGCCTGCATTTAACCGAGACTTTGAAGGCTGCAGAGAGGAAGCCGGTGGCAGGCGCCCTCTGCCCTTGCGGTGATGGGGGTAAAGAGGCAGAGAGATGTAGGCAGATCTTTAAGTAATCAGGAGGCCAAACGGACTTCCAGCCTGGTCTCCCCCTATCCCGCACCAACCTGGACACACAGGCCAGTGTCGGGGGGGGGAACCCCAGGAGGTGCTGGGTCTGCATATTAGAGATGTGAGCTGAGTGTGGAAACTCCAGGTCACCATATCCCGCCCAAAGCCAGCCTCCACTCAGTCTCAGGCAGCCTTCACCATCTGGCACAGCCTCGAGCCTGGGATCATCACAGAATGTGCCCATGAGGGGCAATGGCCTGTGAGACAAAGCAAGGGAGCAGAGGGTGAGATGGTGGCTGCTCCTGGGGCAGGGCTTGGCCAATCTCCAGCCCTGTCCTCACCGCTGTGGGGCTGTGGATGGGTGATCTACTCTCGAGGCAGAGGCCCTCAGGCAGCTGCCCTCCAAGGCCCCCCCACTTCCTTGAACCCTCCCCTCACCCGGGGGATACAACCCTACTACACCGGGATCCCATGGGTTTTTCCATGTCCTTGTGTAGGTGATGAATGGCAATCAGAGCATAGCACACAAAAAACTCAGTCACTTCTGACAAATCTCCTATTAGCCAACAAAGAGAATTCTGTCTTTGGGGTTGTGCCCTCAGCCCTCACAGCAAACACAATTTCAGTTGAGGATGCCAGAGCATTTCCCTCACTGACTTCCTACATGTTTGCAGGTTCCCTGGACAGGGGTCTTTGGTAAGGGGCACAGAATCAACGGGTCTGAAAAACTCCTGCGTCCTCAAGATCAGGGAACAGGGACTGGGCACACCAGGGAAAGGACAGAGATGTAGGCACAGTGGAGAACTGGCCACAAAGGACCGTGGGAGGACCACAGAGAACACTCAGGATCGTGGATAAACGTGGCCTAGGCCAACAATATGTGTGAGCCATGGAAAACATGGTGGCCCCTACTGTGGCCTTGTAGCTCCCCTCCTCCCACGCCCACCTGGCAGATATCCCTGAGAGCAGCCTCTCCTCTGCCCAGATCAGCCCAGGCCCTGACCCCTGACCCTCCCCAACTGTTGTCATTTTTGTCTCCTCTGCCTGGCAGTCCACACCTATCTCCTACTTAACCCTCCATTGGCCAGGCCTGCATGGGAGGCCCCATTTGGCCACAGGGGTCTCATCTCCTGAGGTGACCTCAAGAGATAAACCATCCTAGCCCCTCTGCTGCTAGGCACTGCTCCGACGCCTACCGTGGCCGCCCAACCCCTGGCTGAACAGCACAGCCTCATGAGGCTCCTGGGGCCTTGGGCAGTTTTCACAGGATGACTGGCTTGGGGCCCCTGAAGCTCTCTGGCTAGCCTGCTTGCCCGCCCCTAGCGGCCCTACACAGGCAGACCGCACCCCTGGAGCCTGCTCCTCCACCCGATGCCCAGGACCGGGCGAGGCACCCCTCCTCTCAGCGCCCCATCCCCAGGGCTGTGACGCGGAAGGTAAATAAACTGCCCGCGATCGGGACTCGAGGCTTATCTCTCGGGTCGGGCCAGGTCACGGGAGAGGGGGTGGGCCTGCCAGGGCCGAGGGGAAGGTCGCCCCTGGCGGTCACTCGTTTGCTCCCCCGGGCGGGTTGCTAAAGCCGCAGACCATCGGGGCCTCTCTCAGCATCCGGCCTTGGAGGTCCGGAGACGGTCGCGGAGGCACCCAGGAGGCTTCCTGGGCCCATTTCTGAAGGAGGAACCGGGTTTTCCTGGCCCTGGGCACGGGTAGGCACGGCGGGCGCGGGGCCGGGACGCGCTCACGGAGGACACTAGGACGCTGGCCGGGACGCAGGCGCCCGGAAATCGGGGCGGCGCGCGCTGATGGCGTCACGGGCGCGCGCTGGGCCGGCGCAGGGCGGCGGAGCTTGCCCGCGGCCTCGGCCCTCAGTGGGAATGGCCCGGGTGTTGGACCGTTAGCGATCCCCTAGCCATCACTGTCACCAGGCTCTGGTCCTCGGATTTTCCCGCCAGTGCCCCGACCTCGCCCGCAGCCCCCGACACTCGGCACCCGGCCGGCTCAGTCACCCTCGACCACCCTTCCCGAGTCACTGACGGCGCCTGCCCCGACGACCGACTTCCCACGCGGGGCGCTGCCAAGGGCGCCTCCTGACGCGCCAGCCTAAGGGGACACCCCCCGCCTGCCCCCCACCTGGAGATCCTCAGTTTGCCAGGGCTGGACTTCTCCCGCGGCAGCCTGCTCTTTGCATTAGCCCCGGACGCTGCGCACCGCTGTTTCTTCTCCCTCACCCTCGACCTTTACTCTGTGATTCGCACTGTCCTTCGGGCCCCGCCTGATCTATGTGCAGGTAGGGGGGCCTGTTCCCCTTTCCCTACACAGCCCCCTCACCTGGTTACCTTCCTGTGTCCTCAGACCCAAGCTCCCAGAGGGCTGAGCCTGGGCCTGTGGCTCACCCTTGTGTCGCCTCCACAGGGCCTGTGCTGGAGAGACGCTGGTGACTGCTAAGTGAAGGAAGGACTTTCGACTGTGTCGTTTCCTTCCCCTGCATCTTTTTGCTTCAGTGTCCACAGTCTCAGCCATGGGAAAGGAGAGAGGGTCAGGGGATGGGACCAAGAGGGCTCCACCAGCCTCTCCACTGCTACCCTCCTCCCTGTCCTGCCTGCCTGGCCAGCTCCAGTCCAGCCACCTATTGCCACCCATAGGCTCTTGTAAGTCACAGTGGCCTTGCCACAACGCCATAGAGGAGGAAGCCAGGGAAACCCTATGGCGCAGGGACACCCCTCTGAGTCCCCCACTCTGGGAGCCTGTCATTAGCAACCCAGAAAAAGGAGTGGAGGCAGGGGGCATGTCCCTACAGAAGGCAGCAGTAAGCACAG